AACACTGGCCCTGGATGGAGCTTCATCACCAAAAATCGAACTAAGTTCATCCATGCATTGCTGTTGAGTTAGTCCACGTCGAAAGTTGTAGAAAATAATCGCGCGAAAATGCTCACAATTCAACCCCATACTTTGGCTCAAGCAAAATCTTATAAATTAGTGTAAACATAACAAACCACGCTCAAATTTCGCAGCGTAACCTCAAAATAGTCAAACTTTACACACAGTCAACTTTCGATAGTGGTGTCAGTTGCTAGATTGCTACACTAGTGTTTCCAAATCTCAAAATATAAAAGGCAACCCTCGTATAAACATATGGAAGCGCCGTACTGCAAAGACCACCGCAAGTGCCTCAGAATCTGTTACAGATATCTTCTTTCACCTTTTCTCAGGTTTTTGGATGCGAAGAAAATCGGATGAATTTACTTGTCTTCAGCCTTTTGGGATAGCACCGCTCTCAAACCATATGTCGATGCATCCGTGCATACATATACAAAACGATTTTGTACCATTTCTAACGGCATCCATATCTGGCTTTTTGAGGACTGCTGCCTACCAAACCATGTCCTTCATCTTCTGAAATGCTTCTTGATGCTCCTTTTCTCAGGACCATCTCTTTTTCGACGAATTCAAACTGAAGAGACAAGACGCCTGCTTCGAGAAGCCTAAGCAAAACCTCCTGTCGAAGGAAGCCAGGCCTAAGAAGCTTCGGAGTTGCTTGACGGTTCCCGGCACTGGATGACGGATACCTTACCCGAATCCATGTGCACCCCGTCTCCGTCGATAACATGCCGTTAAGAGCTACCCTACTCTTCAGTAGATAACCCTTTTGCGCTTTTGTCTTGCTTTTGTCAATCTTTGAAATACTTCTAAAAGCTGGTGGTGCCTTTGTTTGGACGTTGTGCAGACCGTTATATCATCGATATAACAGAAAACTTCACAGTCTCAAGAAAATCTCCAAGGACAGTATTCATCAACTTTTGGAACACTAGCGAACTAGTGCTCAGTCCAAATGGTGTTACCATGAATTGGTACAGTACTTTTGGCGTGGCAAATGCTGATTTTTCTTTGGCGTCATCTATTAAAAGAACTTCCAGCATCCGCTGCACATATCCAACGTTGAGAAGAATCGTTTTCCTGATAAACTTTGGAGAAGCGCTTCTATACTTGGCAGTGGATACGCATCCAATTTGGTCTTTTTGTTAAGTTCCCTATTGTCCACACATAGCCGGGTCGAACCGTCCCTCTTTTCAACAAGGACTGTGGGAAAAGCTTACTCTATTCCACTATGTTCTATGACCTTCCTTTCTAGCAAATCTGTTAGCAGCTCTTTGAGTTTCGGTCTTGAACCCAGTGGAACTGGCCTCGCCTCATTTTGATAGGTGCGCTGTCTCCCGTATCGATGGTCATTTTGACTAAGTTCGTCTGAGTCAATTCTCGATCCGAAATTGAGAA